TTTTTACTACATGTTTTACATTTAACTACACGTTCTGCATCGAACTACACATTCTACATTAAACTATATGTTCTTTTAAACTACATGTTGTACTACCTGTTCTAACATTAAACTACATGTTCTACGACATGTTCTACATTAAACTACATGTTCCTACTACATGTTTACTGTAGTGTTGTCTACAAAATGTTTATATTGAACATGTTGAAACTGTGTGAGGTTCTACATAGTTAATGTTCTCATCATGTTTGTTTCTCTTCAGAACCGGATGAGTGAGTTCGGTGCTTGGCAGCGTTCCAGGTATGTTCTGTATTTTCTGTATGTTTCTGCTTGCCGTTGCTTAGTTACTGTGTGAGTAACACACTGTGTTGTTTGTTTTTTGACCACAGGGACAGAACAGAGAACGTTCTCTCTGGAACCATGTTTTTTTTTGGACAGATTGGACATCAATGGAACAGATTGTTTTTGTTTTTTTAAATAATTCGACTTAAACCATCATGAAGCGATCTGTGACACCAGAAAGACTCCATCAGTCCAAAGTGTTCATGATTACTGAACAGAGACATTAGACAAACATTAAAGCTCCTTTAATCAATGATGACATATCAACATTTAAAAAGTCAAACAGCAGAAACTTCATGGAGCTTTACGAGCTAGATGTGATTATTAGAAATGTTCATATTTGATTCATGTAAATAATTTTTCTAATGTTTTAGAGGATTAGCCCAATGATTGTAATGACTAATAAATGATGTAAAGGTTAGGGTTAAGATTAAATTCTCTTCAGGTGCACGTCCACAAAGCCACTTACAAGAAAGAAGCCGTTTAAGGACATTGAGTGTGCTGTCTCTTCTCTCTTCTACTTCTAAATGATGTTAATAAAATACACAAATGTCAAATATGATATGAACACATAACTCCACCAGATGAACCCTGTTTTTAAAAACCGAGCTCAGTATCTCTGTTCACCTTTTAAACAATAAAAGTGATGATAAAGTGTTCCACTGTTTACTGACTGGTTCTTATCTATTTATTACTATGGTTCAATGTTGATCATTATGATCTCTTACAGCTCAGATTACAGACGTTTCATTGGTCCATCAGTTGAGTGTAAGCCGTCATATTTTGAGATCTATCAGACAAAGAACGTCACGACACGTGAACTACAGAACTGTCACAACATGTGAACTACAGAAACTATTATTCTATATATTGTATTTTTCTTCCTTTATTTAACTGATGTACATATGTTTGATTTTTAACTTCTTGTTATTTTTGATAATTATATTCCTGTTTCCTGTTTCTTAATCTAACATAAACAGCTGCTGTTTTAAAACTTTAGATTCTTTGTTTTAACAAGTATAAATACTGCACAACACCTGAAACCGCGTAAGAGTGAGACCTCTGTCGTCCAACATATCTTTGTTTCTGATCGACTGATTGGTCCATACTGTCTCTTGTTATTAATATATAAAACCTTAAACTGTTTGTGACTCAGTGGAATTCCCCGAAACGATTAGTTTCGTTTTCCTCTAAACCCTGTGTGTTGTAGCAGCGCTCCCTGCGGTCACAGATGGAACAGAGCTTTCATTTACACAGTGGCTGAATCTCGATGTCTTCCCTAAACCCTGAGCCCTTACTGACTTTATTGACTGCGAGGGCCCCAATGGTTAAATACAAATGCGACAGCACTTTGCAACTTCTCTGTTACCATGACAACATGATTTCATGTAGGAAAGCTTATTTATGTTTTTTACTTTACTCACTCAGCCATAATAATATACTTTTTATAATAGCTTATAAAAGTTCTACTCAATATAGGCCTATTATATAAATGTATTTGTTGTGGAATAAATAAATAAAGGTTAAGCTTATAAACATAACAGACTAATGGTAATGGTAGATGGACTTGAGCTTTTTTAGTGCTTTTCTAGTCTTCCGACTACTCAAAGCGCTTTTACAACGCCTGTCACACCCACCCATTCACACCTGATGGTAGTGATCACTATGTAGTATCATCAGAAGTAACTAATCCCATTCATACACACCACCACTGAAGTAGCGGGAGCAATTCAGGGTGAAGTGTCTCGCCCAAGGACACATCGGACATGTTGCTCAGCTGGGGATCGATCCCTCGACCTTCCAGTTGAGAGGCAACGACTCTACCAACTGAGCCACAGCCACCCACTTATATGTGTTTGGTTTCTCTTGTTCACGTTTCTAGACTCGTAGTAGAGTTCTGAATTAGCGTTAGTTTCCAAATAAACTTTTTTAGTACACTGTAAATAGAGCGTTGTTTCACCTTCCTGTTTTTTTTTATCATCTCTACCTTTTTCCGTTTTATAGTGTTTGTTTACCCTTCAATTGTTGTGGGTTCCCGGGAAATCATATGTTTCATGTCACAATGCTATGAACTCTGGCTAATTCCCTGACGTTAAGTATGTAGATATGCCACTTTCGGACAGGGTGCAAGGAGCTAGCTGGATGTAACCAGACCGATCTGGCCTTTAACAAGAACTGGCACTTCCACCTGACCAGGAGCGTGGACTTCGCCCCGCCACAGGAGCCGAGTACACCTGTTGGGTGCAGCACGGCTCCAACACCCACAACTACGCCTGGGGTCAGTTCACCTGTTTAACACCTGTATGAACGAACACATCTGTTTAACACCTGTATGAATGAACACATCTATTTAACACCTGTATGAATGAACACACCTGTTTAACACCTGTATGAATGAACACATCTGTTTAATACCTGTATGAATGAACGCATCTGTTTAACACCTGTATGAATGAACACATCTGTTTAACACCTGTATGAATGAACACAACCGTCACAACACATGAACTAAAGAACCATCACAACACGTGAACCGTCACGACACGTGAGCTAAAGAAACGTCACAACACGTGAACTAAAGAACCCTCACAACACATGAACCAAAGAACCATCACAACACTTGAACTAAAGAACCATCACAACACGTGAACTAAAGAACCCTCACAACACATGAACTAAAGAACCGTCACAACACGTGAACTAAAGAACCCTCACAACACATAAACTAAGAACCCTCACAACACATAAACTAAAGAACCATCACAACACGTGAACCAAAGAACCCTCACAACACGTGAACCGTCACAACACATGAACTAAAGAACCGTCACAACACGTGAACGTCACAACACATGAACTAAAGAATCATCACAACACGTGAACTAAAGAACCGTCACAACACGTGTACCAAAGAACCCTCACAACACCTGAACTGGGGGGGGGGACTTTTTATGCCCTTGTTTTAGAGATATGACAGTGGATAGAGTCAGAAATCAGGGAGAGAGAAAGAGTGGGGAAAGACATGCGGGAAAGGACCCCCAGGTCGGACTTGAACCCTGGTCGCCCACCACAGCCCCAACACACGAGGTGCACGCACCAACCACCAGGCCACCGACGTCCCATGTCACTTGTTTTTTTTTTACCGTTACTGTGTTATTTTAAGTAAGGAATAAGGGAGATGACAGAAGGCTAGAGGTAAGTTCAGGCACCCCATTTACAAAGGCTATAGTCCTCGTAGTGGTCCTCCCAACTCTGTCCTATCTCAAAATAAAGGCATAAAAAGCCCCAAAATAAACCTTAAAATAATAATATAATGCACAGTGAGCAGGTTGCTATCACTGAATAAAAGCTCGATGTGATGAGCCGGTCTTGTGTCACCCTGAAGAGGTTCCTCCACAATAACATCCCGCTCACTGTGCATAAGCCTGCTTATTACACGGCTACTTACTGAGGAAATCAATAATTTGTTACAAAATATTTTATTGGTTTAAAAATGGTATATTTCTTCAGCTAAACAAACAGTCTGTTTGATTCTAAAGTTGGAGCTGCGTCCATAGTAACAGTTAACTCTGTAGCATTCTTAAAATGAGCTGAGCTACGCTGTTATTACTCACTTTGATCTGAACAATTCCACTGAAGGGGATTTGAGACAAGGTGAACGGATCAGCATGAATCAGCGCAGCACCTGATTGAGTTTGTCTGCCTGGTCATGTTGAAGTCTTTTGACGTTTTCTTTTCCGTTCACTAATCTTTAAATACCACTGAATCCCAATCCGTGTTACTTTCCTTGTTTACTCCATGTCCCATCATCAGGTTTTCAAATTTCTCTGTCATAGCCTGCAGGTTTGGGGTCTATTTAACTCTAACGCTTATCTTGTCTAATTTCTCTTTCACCACTGTACACAGACAGACGTCAATTAACCAAACTTCTTTGCGTTGACTGATATGATTGTGTAGTGCACAGCATGACATGTGCAGCAGAGCGCAGAGAGTCCAACCGTGGAACCACAGCTGAGGGAACGGTTACACTAAAGAGCTGGAAATTGGAGGCTAGGTATGAGAAGCAAACTTGCCAAAACCAGACCGACATAGTACTGAGTTCACAACCTTTTGACTGGGCTCATGTGTCCTTCACAAAAGACAAGGATATAAATAATAGAGAGACAGCTTTAATTTAAAAAGAAAGGGGAAAAAATTGTTCGTTTTGCAGCGTTTAGGATACTTAATGTACTCATGTTATTTAAGCGCCTGGCAGGATAATTGACATGTGGAAAAAAAAAAAACTCCTCCTTAAGCTTGAGGCTGGAGACGGGGGTGTGGCGAGCTGGCAGCCGCCCAAGCCCACACTCTCATCTGCTCTCTGTGGCGAGGCATGTTAGCCATTTCCTGAACCAAAGGAAGAGGCCAGGGGTCGCTGAAGGAAACACACGACTCCTACTAGAGGGTGGGGATCGAGAAGAGGGCAGAGGATTATGTCGAAAAAGGCGGGGAGCTGAGGTGGATGTTGACAGGTCATGAGAAGCAGACGGGTGTGAAACGGGTGTGTGTGTCAAGATGCATCTGTCGTTATAGGAACAATTACAGAGCAAGTACAGTTGCATTCACACTCAGAAACACAGCTCTGCTTTACCCCCTAAAAGACATACCGTAATATACCAATATATGCAATCACTCACTGATTTTTACCTCACAACTATTTACCATGATTCTTTTGAAATCCATGTGTGCGGCCATTTCACCTGCTGTGCCCTCATGGCGCTTTCCGTTTGCAGCACATTTCCAGCTCTTTCTATCAGACTTCCTTTTCCCTCATCCCTTCTCCTGTCACCACTGTTTCCCTCCATCTCTCACCACTACGTAAGCTTCCTTCACCAGTGGGTCCTTTGGGGTGATTGCTCCTTTTAACAAACTGTCGACACAGTGCAGGGAACCTTCACAGCCTCAGTGAAAACACTCCAGCCACTGAATCAAGAACGGTGTTTCAGAGGGTACTGCAGGTTGTCCTGTTTAAGTTCTTTTTTTTTTTTTTTTTTTTTTTAAAGAACCCATCGGTTATCATTTTACAATAATAAACCTCAGGCAACGATGGCCAACTTCTCTGTAATTCCTCCTGACCTGGTTTGTGTTTAAACAAATGCAAGCCAAGACTTTCTTCACCATGCACTGCATCGTTTACATTCCAATTAGCATTTTTTAGAAACCCCCATATGTTCAGAAATTTACCACGTCTGCAAAATGAACACCATCATTTCTCCCTAGAGGAGCTACCTGTTAATCTGTTTCTTGTGCATCTCAGTTTATTTGTAAATAGTAAATTACACAGAGGCTTCACACTGGTTTAATCAGCTGTACAAACCTTAAAAAAGCAATCTGATTTTCCTGCAAATAACAGGTCTTAAGTTTTCAAGTAACATGATGCAGATTTTAAAGTAGGTAAGAAGTCCAGCTCAGTCAGGTCTGTCCTCAAGAGGAGAAGAAAAACAACTTTTAAAATGTTAGTTTGTTGAATGAAGGTCAAATTAATCATTTCTGATGCGTTCAAGGAAATGGTGATGGTTTTTGGGACACAACAGACAGCTAACTGATTTCTCACTCAAGTCTAAATATTTGATCCAAGATGGGTTCTTACCTTTACTTGCATGCGGTTATTGGTTTATAG